CCATGCTTCCCAAGCAGGGCACTATCCATTGTGCCACCGGGCCAGCCCCGATATTAATTGTATTTTGATATTAATAAAAATAATGAAGAATATTATATGGGTGGGTTAGTCGTTAGTGTAGACTTAATCTCAGCCCACAGAACCAGTGGTTTATGTAGCAGATTCTTAGAGTTCCTTTTTCTGTCTTAGCTAAATTGCTTTTAGAAGACATCTTAAAAATATATACTTCTAAGTTTTTATAAAGGTCTCTCTGTGTGGGAATTTGTAGTTTGGCATTGCTAAACATTTGCTAATTTATATGTGAATATATATGTACATTTGTATTAATATTACAGTAAATAGAAATGTACAAGGGTTATAAAGTTTTGAAAGTTGAAGATTATGGAGAATGTGTGGATTTAAAAAATGCTGTGCATTATCAGTAAGAAAGAACGGTTAACTGATAGTGGTTTCAGTTTGATTTATATGGTACTGGCATTAAGACTGTTGTGGTAGTTGTATTTTCAGTGATTAATTAACCACATAAGAATCTTAAACAAAAACCAAATTATACTTTTGAATAGGGTATCAGTAAATGGTGATAAGGGATTTAATTTTCTTAAATGTTGCATCATTTAAAAAAATTTCCCATATAGTATTAAAAAGATAGAAAGTAAAACTATGAAAAATTATAATTTCATATTTATTTTTTGCTTTAAGTGGAGTGTAGTACATTGTGAGAAGAAAAGGATTATAAGCTTGTGTTTTAGGGACTTGGGGGAAAGAATGATAAAGTGCATTCTTAATTATTTAGGCTCAAAGAAGTTAATAACTTTTTTTCAGTTTTTCTAACATTTAAACTTATACTTGTTTATAGGTGATGTTTTTTTTTAAATGTTCTTTGAATTTTAGAATAAATAGAATGATCACAGAAAGTTCTATTGCTGCTTTTTCCAGTGGGGTGACTTGATTCCTTTCATTTGGGGTTAATTGGTAGAATTTTATTACTAAGTGCAGGTGTATTGTGATGGAAGGACCGTTACCAAGTCTATAACATACTACACCTGTTTGTTCCCAGCAGCACTTACCTTTTAGCTAGGACAACAATTCTCAGACTTTTGGGTCTCAGGATCCATTTATACTCTTAAACTTTTTGAGGATCTCAGAGGGCTTTTGTTGTTGTGGATTATACCTACTTATATTTACCATATGAGAAATTAAGACAAATATAAAAATGTTTATCACTATATCTTATATAATGTATAAATGATTATTATGTATATATTTTATTTTTAAGTGCACATATAGAATGCTATATTAATTTATTTAAAAATAACAATGACCCAAACATTTTAAAATCAAAATGAACTTTACTTTCTAGAACAAACAAAAGAAAATAACAAAAGTGGCATTGTTGTACATATTTTACAAATCTCTTTAATGTCTGGCTTAATAGAAAACATTGTTTCTACATTCAGTCAATTGCACTATCACATATCCTGTAGTCTCTGGAAAACTTGGCGGTTCACTTGTTAGAAAATGAGAGTGAAAAAGGTAAATAACATTTTCATATTATTATAAATAATTTTAATATTACTGATATCTCTGAAAGGGTTTCATGGACCACTCCTGTCTCTAAGTATTTTCAGACCACATGTTGCGAACTGCTGACCTAGGAGTATAATAAGAGTTTGTGCTAAACGTTAAGAATGCTTTAACACAAAACTTCCTTAAAATAGAATACATACTGTCTGATAATTCTGTACTTAGCATTTCTAAGCAGATTTTAGGTTTTCTTAACCAGAGCTGTGGAGTTTAAATTTCCTTTGTTCTAATTCTCCTATTTTACATTGTTTTTATTTTTCCTGATTGCAAAAATAGGAGATGTTCTTTATAAAAATTTGGAAAAGTACAAAAATTATAAAAGTGAAAGTAGAAATCACCTGTGCTTCCAGTAATCTGTTAGCTTTCTGATTTTTCTTTGTGTCTTTTCTATTCACATGTATATTTAATGACATGAAAAATATTTTATTTGAAAAGTAACACATAGTTGTAAACAACAACAAAATTTAATCAGCAGTATTATAAGAAGTAAATAGTAAATGTTTGTTCTTCACAATTACCTCCAAATGTTGTTAAAGGCTGTATTGTATTCCACAGAATGAGCATAAGGATGTTTAGGTAATTGCTGGTTCTATTTTTTTTTTTTTTATTGTAACAAACAATGTAGCATGAACATTATTATGTGCTATTTTTGCTTACTTGAATAATTTTCCTCCAAAAACATACCACTTCTTATTCTCACTAATGTTTTAACCCACAACTTTGTCAGTCTTGACTAATTAACTTTTAAATTATGAATATCCTTTTGATACTAAACCAAAACTTGACAAGTGTAATTTTCTTAAAGGTTAGTTGCAATGTAATTAGAAGCTATATTGAAAAAATTTTCCTACTTTCATTAAAACCCGTTGTACATTGAAATGATCACTTATCCATGCATGGTTTTGTAACTACATGCATTGGTCTTTTGGAAAATACTGTTTCACTAAGTTAAGCATGTGTTTCAAATATTGATATATTTTATTACCGAGAATTAAATCATAGTAGTTAATATTACCACAGTTTCATCAAGACAAGTTTTTTAGTATTGGCAGATAAGAATTTAAAATTCTGATTATTGCTTGAAAGCTTGAATTTCATTATTGGGGATAAATAATTATCAGCTTTCTTGAAGTAATAGGGCCTCTTCATTCTTGAGAATGCTTTTTATTTCTTTTTCGTGTTTCATTGCAATGTTAAAGAGGTGAAAGTAGACATCCTTGTCTTGCTCTTAGTCATATATAGATATCATTCAGTCTTTCACTATTAAGTATATTGTTAGCTGGCAGTATTTCATAGATAGGCTTTATCAGATTTAGGAACCTTCTATTCCAGATTTGCTGAGAGTTACGTCAAATGCTTTCTTTGCATCTGTTAAGATGATCTTACTGTTTTTCATATTTATTCTGTTATTACAGTGTATTACAATGATGGATTTTTAAATATTAACCCAACCTTTCATTCCTGGGTTGAATTATCCTTAGTCATGGTGGCTTGTTCACTTTTGTATCCAAATGCCCAATCCAGTCCCATAAGGATGTAGTTGATGTTCAATAAGTATTTGTTGAATTAACTAAGAAAGTGAGATTGCTCAAGTAATTTTCCATTTTTAGAAACCCTTCAAAATATTTGAAAAAAAAGCCCAGTTATTTAATAAACCAAAATATATTGCTGTCTTATTTTGAGATCATTTCTTAACAACTTTAACTATTAGGAATATAGATGGTAACTCAAAAGGAAGTAGATAAGCCCTTTGACAGTCCTTTCATTGAAAAACTTCAAAACCTGTTTATTTTTATATTCTGTATATAGTTCTAACAAACTTTGATGATCTGAAAAAAAAAATCACTTGGAAGTAAAACAGACATTTGTTGTGGGAAAAAGTTCATTTTCTTATGACCAATAAATAGATAAATGCAGTGTTTAGGTAAATTGATCACTTATTATATGTTACTTTATTGGGAATCTGCTAGTTCTAAAAATAAAATACAGATGACTTCTGGGCACTCAAACTTTATATTTTCAGTTGTATTATTTTGTATGACTACATAATGAATTATTACTAACTTAGTGGCTTAAAATGAGAGATTTTATTATCTTACAATTTCCATGGGTCAGCAGTCCAGATGTGGCTTAGTGGGCTCCTCTGTTGAGGGTCTCATCCTGCTGAAATCAAAGTATAAGCCTGGACTACAGTCTTGTCTGAGGCTTACTGCCCTCTTCTAAACTCACTGGTTCTTGCCAGAATTCAGTTTCTGATGGCTATAGGACTGAGGCCTTTAGCTCCTGGAGGCCTCCCACCTGGCATGTGGCTCTCTCCACAACATGATGGTTTGTTTCTTTAAGGCCATCAGGAGAGTCTCTCTGCTGCTTCCAATATCTTTAACTTCTAGACCCTCTTTTTAAAGGAATCACCTGATTAGGTCAGGCCCACCAGGATACTCTCTTTTAATTAACTTAAAGTCAACTGATAGGGGCCTTGATTATTTCACCTCTGCCACGTAACCTAGTCACAAGAGCGAAATTCTAGGAATCTTGTGCACAAGAGCATAAGGAGAGGGGATTATACAGGGCATGTATACCAGAGTATAGGAATCTTGAGGGGTGATCTTAGCAATATTCATATCACAGGGCTATTAAAGACACCAGTGACTCCCTTGTTCAATAAAAATAGAATCTTTTCTGTGTGCCAAGCATTTCTCTAGGTCATGGAAATATAAGGCTAAAAAGCCTAGTTCTTGTCTATAATAAGGTGGTAGAGACAGTAAAGTACTGTTTATAATGTAGTTCAGTAATGCACCTGCAATAAAGGTTTACCCAGGCTATAACATGAACATCAAGGAGAAGGTATAGGGAGAGAGGAAGTTTGGTCAGGAAAAGTGTATCATATACCTGGAAAAAGTAAAAATACTGCTGCAGTTCTTGAAAATATAAAATTAAAAAAAAAATTGTCAGTTTTCTAGGAAGAATAGCTTAGTATTTAAGATGAAGAAATTATTTAATGGCTTTTTCTTTTCCCTCAGATGGTATACCTCAAGTTTACTATTTTGGCCCTTGTGGTAAATACAATGCTATGGTGCTGGAACTGCTGGGACCTAGTTTGGAAGACTTGTTTGACTTGTGTGACAGAACATTTTCTCTTAAAACGGTTCTCATGATAGCTATACAATTGGTAAGTAAAGCAGAGGGTTTTGAAGTTGTTTGAACAATTACCCTGTTCATTGATCACAAATTTATATTAAAAGTTTAAAGTTTTGTGACATCTTACAGAGCATTTGACCTAATACAATGTTTCTGCTTTTTATATTGTCTTTCTAGGATGCATATAACTCAAAATAACTGAGTCAAATGTATTTTATTTGTAAGAAATTAGTGTTTTAACTGCTTTAAGATCAGAATGCTCAGTTGGAGAGAATTGTTTCTAGCACCATTTTCATGTAGGAGTCGAATACTTTGAAAGAGAACCCTCAGAAACATGGATTATTAATCTTGGTAACAGACTTTATGGCCTAGAAAAAGAAAAACAAACTAATGGGAGAATCTTAATAAATTATTAAAATTTCAGGATACCTAGGGGAAAACAATTTAGAGGATGATTTTTAGGCAGTTTTGAAACAAATACCAATAAGAATATGCTGCAAAAGTCTTGAAATTGTTTTTATCTGTTGACTCATTAATTCCAACATGTACAAATTTATCCTGTGGAACTAAGTATTCAGATGTACTTAAAGCTTCACGTGCAAGAATATTTGTAATTAAAAAAAATGAGAAAGAACCCAAATGTGCAGAAATAACAGTATTAGTTTGCACAAGTTATTAACAGCCATAAAAGAATATGCAGCTATTAAAATGTGTGTATTAAAAGAATGTTTTATGATCTGGAAAATGCTCACAATATTTCATTAATTAAAAGTATAGGTCATAGAATATTATATATTATATGATCCAAAGTTTGATCCCAATTATTATTAGAGTTGGATTCCAAAATTTTCTAGTTCCAAGATCTTATTTTTAAGTATTTAATAACTAGGACGAAAGTAAAGAAAACAAGTTATAAAAAAGACAGCAATTCTAAATGGTATTGTTAATTGATTTTATTTAAGTTTAGCCTCTGAAGTTTTTTTAATATAATTATAAAAGTTGCTTGATTATTGAACTGATAAGGAAGAATAAATTGCAGCTTTATGAATATGTCTGCTTATACTTATGAGTTTAAAATTGTGTATTAGTAAAGCTTTTTGATTTTATGAGGTAACATATTCAAAGTATTGCTTGAAACAGGCTTAATATGGGAGGAATTCATAAAATTCAAACACTTTAATTTATCAGTGACCATAAAAGTAATGGCAAAGATTTTTAATCGTAATTGATATATATATATATTTTTTTCAATCATAATTGAAATATATATATATTTGAGGAACTACAGACTGATGATGTTATGTTACTTTTAAAGGGTTGAAATAATTCGGTTTTTTTTTTTTTTCTTGTGTTGTTTTCATTGTGAAAGTTCTGTCTTGCCTCTCATGCTTTCTTATGCTTGTCAAAGCTTAAAATAACATTTCCCTTATTTTTTCTTAAACCAAGATTTCTCGCATGGAATATGTTCATTCAAAGAACTTGATATACAGAGATGTAAAACCGGAAAACTTCTTAATAGGACGGCCAGGAAACAAAACCCAGCAAGTTATTCATATTATTGATTTTGGTTTGGCAAAGGAATATATTGATCCAGAGACAAAGAAACACATACCATACAGAGAACACAAGAGCCTTACAGGAACAGCTAGATATATGAGCATAAACACACATTTAGGAAAAGGTATGTGTACCTTTTGTAAGTATGGAAGTTTGAATTCAACAGTTAGGCTATCTGTGAGTTTTTATTTCTTGTTATGGTTCAGTTTTTGCAGATTATGATAGCTTTTGTTGTAATTATTATTTATCATGTCTGTCTAGAGTTTACTTTCATTTATATTTTAATAAAAGTCTTTTAAAGTAAGTTGCAGTAGAGTAAATGAATGACAGCTATCCTTACATTGACTGTATCTCTTTTTTTAATATGATAACTTGAAACATTCAACTTTGATAAAGTTAGGGGGATTCGTTTGATTATCTCCATTAAAGAATATGAGATAATACCTAATTTTAAATGAATTTAGTACATGTGAAATTTTTTTACCGAGACCATAGCTCTCTGATATGGCTAGCCAGGGAAATAGCAAACTGCCTAATAAGTATAATGTGAAGAGCACATACCTTAGAGGTGGGCAGAGCTGGCTTCTAATGCTGGCTTAACTGTACACTAACTGTATGACTTTGGGCAAGCTGTTTAATCTTTTTAAGTGGATGTCTTATTTGTAAAAATGGTAAAATGTCAGCCTCACAGGGTTTGTTATAGCTTTTATTTTTTTCCTGATCCAGTATCCAATCCAGGATCATACATTAATTGATTTGTTATGACTTTTTAGTCTTTTTAATCTGGAACAGTTCCTCAGCCTTTCTTTATGGCTCATGACCTTAATATATTTGGGGATCATAAACTATTTTGTAGAATGTTCTCAATTTTGGCCTGTTATTTTTCCATGATTAGATTTGGGTGTGCATTTTTAATACAAATGACGTAGAAGTGATGTGTTCTCAGTGTATTGTATCTGGAGGCACACGATGTCACTTGGTTCTGAGTATCTTTGATCACTTGCTTATTCTCTGTAATTAAATATTTTTTAGGTAGATCTTTGAGATTATGTAAATATGTTGTTCCTCATCAAACTTTTACCCACTAGATTTAGCATCCATTGATGATTTTCTAACTGTCATTCCTTACATATTTATTAGTTGATATTCTAATGTAAGCAAAAGTTTTCCGTTCTCCCCTATATATTGCCTTATATCTGTATAGACTCAAGAATTCTTATCTTATTTAATGTATTATGTATTGAATGTGTAACTATTATTATTTATTTTGATGCTCAGAGGGTCTCAGATTTGGCCACTGGTTGCTCCTTCAAGCAGGCTCCTCTGTCCTTTTGACAAACTTAATTTTCTACCTTTAGATTCTATTCCTGATATCTGACTCACAAGAGATAGACAGGAAGATAAACCAATCAGTGTATATCCATCATCACAGCTCAAAAGTACCTTACAATATACAATCACAGATTTGGACAGTACCTTAGAAGTCATCTAATTCATCTTCCAACTTCTGATCTTAGTTTCTTCTGTAACCATTCTCCCCACACTTACCTATTATATACCACATGTTCCTGTTCTGCCTCTCAATCAGAGCTAAACAGCACTTGGTGTCTTTGCTGACAGCCTGCCTGATAGTAGGCTAATGGTATTTTTTCTTTTCAAATGACTGAAATGCCTGAAAGATGTAAATTTGCCTTTCTTTAAGAAAAGTAAGTTTCAAACATCTAAAATTATGAAACACAAATTTTATCCAGATAATATTTTCAGGGAGCACCTTTCAATAGCAAACTTTCCTGATAGATTTAAAATAGGTTAAGTGATATACAGCCTTCAGGACTTTGCCTTCTATTAAAACCAGGCACTCCTGTACTTACATTTACAGTGTCTGTGAGAAATTTTCATTTTATGGGAGTTAACAGACTATTTTATAACAAGTAACAAAGGTTCAACACTATTTTATTGTGAGTCATGAAGTCACAACTTCCTTATGGCCTAATGTTCTTTATCTGAACAATGGTAAATGTACCCACATTCTATTTGTAGAAATGGCAAAATGAATTTGATATGTTTGTCCTTGTTGGGAAAAGCCTTCAGAGCTTGGAAAATGGCATTTAATTATTGCAGTAATCTGTTTTTACTCCTCTTTCATGAAGAAAACAAAAAATTATTTCATTGGCAAGTACTGCAAACAGCAAAAAGCTTTAATGTTTACTCTCCTTCATTTATTAAAGCCCTGCTTCTCCATTTACATGTAGAACTTGGTAGTAGATATGTAATGTTAACAGAGAAAAAATTTCATTTGCCAAATTACATGAATTCCTATTTAAAAAGTTAACAGAAAGCTAAAGTAATGCGAGTTTGGATGCTGAATAGTTAAAGCATTCTTTGAGTTTGTGATGCCTGTGAGTTTAGAGTATTTAGCTTTGTGAGGAGTCAAAGATAAAAAAGAAAAAGGAGCAGAGAAAATGTGATCTTTTAATATGATTTGAATTTGTGCATATCTAATTTCTGTCCTCCCTGCTTTCCCTGGATCTTGGTAATTACTTTAAAAGCCATTTTCATTTTTCATTCTTTCATTCATTCATTCATTCTTATGCACTCAGGACTTCTTGCTCACATGAACTTTTCAAAATAGAGAATTTGGTCAGAGAAATATTTGTATGTTTATAAGTATTTTTCCTTTTTGTAGACTGATAGTGTATTTAAAAAGGAAAACGGTGCTCCTAATATAATAATATGGAAGAATAGTGTATAATCACATTATAGGATTTAGCATCTTTATTTCTGTGGTATCTTAACTAGGTAATTTCTGTTCAGAAAGTAGATATAGTGACTTTTACACATTCGTAATATCTGCTTAAGTTACTCTCCAAGATGAAATTTTGATAAAGTTGTGTGACAGATGTGTATTTCCATGGACTACTTGATTGGAAGCTTTCTTTAGTATTGCCATGTTGAATTGTTTTTGTGTCTGATATGATCAAGTTCTACTTTTTCCTATCTTTCTGAAGACTTTTTTATCAACTAATTTGAACGTTATTTTATAATCTTCTTTTGGATCACTTTTTTACCCCTTTTATGTCTTCTCTTGTTGAAGTCATTTAAGATTATGTAAATATTGTCTGTTTCTCTTTGGTGAGTAGTCTTAAAATAAAAATCAAATCTTTATACAGTATTATTGATTATTCAAGAATAAAGAGACTAGGATTTGAGGAATATGTTGGGAATTGCTTTGTAAATAAGTGTTAAACATGTGTTCTATAGAAGAATGATATTTTGATCTTCTAAGTGGGAAGGAATCACAGAATTATGGTGTTATGAAAATGTCTTCTTTCTGTGCTGTCATTCTGTGATGTGATCCATATAATTTAATTTCTTGGTTAATTGTCCGAATTCCCGAGGCCTGCTCTTTTAGCTGCCCAAATGGCTTTTTAGCAGTTAAAAACATGTATTTATATTCTTTTTTTGTTTGTTTGTTTTTTGTGACGAGTAAGGGTATCGTAACCCTTGGCTTGGTGTCGTCCGCACCGTGCTCAGTCAGTGAGTGCACCGGCCATCCCTATATAGGATCTGAACCCGCGGCCTCGGCGCTCCCAGCGCCGCTATGCTCCCAGCACCGCACTCTCCCGAGTGAGCCACGGGGTTGGAACTTTATATTCTAAAAGTTTAAAAAGTATTGCACAGTTCTTTGTTTTCTTAAACAAAGTATAGTGAACATAATTGGTATTTTCTTAATGTTTCAGGGTGAAAAATTTTTGTATGATTACTGTTATATAGTGATACAACATCAGTTGGAGAGTGTTAGGTTGTATATCTGTCTAAATAAGTGCAGAAAAATGCTGTTTTTATTTTTTAATAGATTCTTTTCTGGTTGTTGTTTTTTTGGCCTTCAACTATATTTTTTCTTGCTTTTTGATATTATATGTAGTACTGCTGGCAGCAGTTTGTTTTTCTCTTCTGATTTGCTTCTTTTAACCTGGTAGCCATACGTATTGGAATTATATCTAAGTTAAGAGAACTGGATTTCAAGAGAACTTCTTTAGGAATTAAGTAAATTGCATGTATTGGGCTAAGTTGCTCAGAAAACTTTTTTCTTATTTTCTAAGTTTTCTTGATATTGCTAGATTAGGCCTCTGGATTTGAGAGCTGTTGCTGCATATTGTCATGTATAATTATGTTTTTTCTTTTCCCATTGAGATTTGTGTTCTCATATTGGAAAAAAAAAAAAAAAAAACCATCTTTATTATGTAATTTTGAGAAATGTGAGCTTAGTAAATCTTGAGGAAGATGCATTTTTATTTTTGTGGGAGCCAGGGAAAATAACTTTTAATATTTCGGAAGGAAATATTTAGTGAAACTTTTACTTGCTTGTAGTGATTTTTATTTTTTGTTTATTTATGGGGAACAATTTAAACTTTCTTCAGGGAGAATTTTTGCTTGATCTCTCTTATCATGTCTGTACTTAAGCTAACATGTCTTTTGACCTCATTATGTTTCATTTTGGTAGAAAATGCAGTTTATAAGTTAATTTTTGTAAATATACACGCATAGTAGGTTTCTTGCTTCTAAGTGAAGCATGATGTATTTTTTTTAACAGATAAATTTGAGTTTATAAAAAAGGATATATTTTTCTGTTGAAAATTGAATTGTTATTTCAATTGAAATGGAAACATTGGTAGGCAAGTGAGGAATAAAATGAGATTTAAGAAAAGAAAAATAATGTTGAGATGTGAGAGTAGAATTTTTAAATAGAAAAGCATTGCGGAAGTTTTGCAGTAAACATTTGATTAATTGATGGGTTCTACCTTGCTTTCTGAGTGAAAAAAAGTGCAGCCAGGTGGGCTGAAATCCTGCTCTTCAGTTATTAGGGTACATACTGTTGGACAAGTTGCTTAACTTTTCTGAGCTTTACTTTATTTGGGATTTCTAATATTTACTTTCAGTGTAGTTGTAATTTGAAAGATTATGTGTATAAAGTATGGACATATATTAGCTCTTAATTTGTGTTGCTTATATTTATTTTATGTGATACATATATTCCTGAAGAGCAAAATTTTAGTTGACTTTATATAACTTTTAAATGGATTTGAAGAACCTGTTTAAAAGAATCTTTAATGATAACTATTGTAAAGCAAATAGTCACTTTCTAGTTTCTTCAGTTGCTCATAGCAAGAGTCTGCATAATGATTCTTGGCTTTTAGGAAAACATTCATTTTCAAACAGGCCTTTGTAGTTATGTGCTTTAAAAAATGTGAACAAGGTTTAATAAGGGCCACATTACCCTTGGGAGGTGTTTTTTTTTTTCCCCATGTAAAGGAACTGTTAGACCCGAGGAGGTGTTCTTTAGTTACTGTGTTTCAAAAGAGAAAGCTCTCCAATGACTTCTATTACTTACTACATTGTGAAATTTATTTCTAGATATGTCAGTTGGTAAAAGAACACAAAGAAAGGAATTATCAGGGTAAAGATCGTTTCAGAGTGAGTTTCAGTAGTAGGTTTATTTTACTAGGTTATATTTACGGCTTGAATTTTTAAGTGCCTTGTGGGTTATGAGACTAGTACTGTTCTCTGATAGAACCACATAGGTAAGATCACCTTATGATCATGGTTTGTTTGCACTGTGGTAACTAAAGCCCCCTCTTGGATGGAATTCAAAGAGGAACTGGCTTCTATACTGAGTTTTTCTCTCTAACAAAGAGACTTACTGTGGGGCTCAGTATACTTTTATATATAATTTTAAGTCTTTTAAACTATTCTGTAATATATAGGTCTTGCATATATATTGATACATTTATTCCTACATGTGTCCTTTTTTTGATGCTGTTGTGAAGGTATTGGTTTTTAAATCCAATTTTGGGTTCATTGTTACTATAGAAATCTAGTTGATTTTTATATATTGACTTTATCCTGTAACCTAGCCAAAACTCACTAGTTCTAATAGACATTTTGTGGATTACTAGAATTTTCTCCATACACAATCATGTTATCTGCAAGGAAGAATAATTTTAGTTTTTCCTTTCCAATATGAATACTTTTTGTTTTCCTTGCTTTTCTGTACTGGCAAGAACTTTCAGTACAATACTGAATAGAAAGGGTGAGAGTAGACATCTTTGTTTTATTCCTGATCTTAGGAGTGTCTTTCACCATTTAAGAATTATGATAGTTGTAGGATTTTCATAGTTGTCCTTTGTCAGGATGAAGAAGTTTCCTTCTATTCCTACTTTGCTGGGATTTTTATAGTGAATGCATATTGGATTTTGTTAAGTGCTTTTTCTGTATCTGAGATGATCATGTGAATTTATATCTTTTATTCTGTTAACATGGTGAACTACATTGATTTTTGAAAGTTAAACCAACCTTTCAATCCTTGGGTGAACCATAAATAGATATATAAACATAAACAAATCTCTAATAGCATCTAAAAATATCATAATAGCCTATTTTAAAGATGCACAATAATTTCAATGTAAAAACATTACAGTTTAACTAGACATGATTTTGTTACATATAGGCTAGATCTGTGTTTTGTATTTATATATTGAACTTTTGGAAATTAACTTATACATGATGAAAGAATCAATTCTCTATTCTTGCATCCTTAACTACTAGAGAAAAGTGAAGTTTATGTTTCTCGTATATTTCAGAACAAAGTAGAAGAGATGATTTAGAAGCATTAGGTCATATGTTCATGTATTTTCTGAGAGGCAGTCTTCCTTGGCAAGGCTTAAAGGTAATTGTTTTTGTGCTTCCTTATTGAATTACATAAAATGTTAATATAGATTGCTTTTTTTTTCCAACTAATTTTAAAATTACATTCTCAAGATTTTTTTTCTGCTTTAGGCTGACACATTAAAAGAGAGATATCAGAAAATTGGAGATACAAAAAGAGCTACACCTATAGAAGTGTTATGTGAAAATTTTCCAGGTAATGAATAATGCCAAATCAGTACATGTGCACATACACAGAAAACCAGAACTACTAATTTTCATTGCTTAAGTTTATAAACACCTTTTTTTCTTTCTTTAAAAAAATGTGCTCAAAATGTGATTTAAGAGATGTTAGCATTTGATGCATAGACCACAGGGACAGTTTGTATATTTTCTTTGCAGGATGGTATTAAGAGGAAAAAAAAAATCCCATCTTTTAATAGTGTTAAACAATTCCAGCTGAAGTAATTAATATTTTCTTTAGTGACATATTTTTAATATGTTAAAATATTTGCTGAAGAATACCAACTATAAAGTTTGGTGTATAATGTTTGTTATTTGGGTCTCAATGTCAAGTTCAAAGGAAGTGTATAAAGTATTATTTAATTTAGTTTTCAAAGTACAGTAAAATCTTATTGACCTTACTAGCTTTAGGCTAATTTTATATTGGGGAGCAGTATGAAGTTACGAAAATAATTTTGTTTTCAAGTAGATTTATGGCAACTCAAATTAAACCAACAAAAATTTACACAAGATTTCTAAATGAACAAAGGAATAAGAATAATTTATTGTTAATGTATTAAAATGCCTGCTGTGATTTGTGCAGAAACATTAAGAGAAAAGAGAACTGAATTTAAAGATAGAAGACTGAGTTCCTGTCTCACTTCAATATTCACTGGTTCTTCTGTAATATCATCAATGTAATAATGAGGTTGCTCTTTCTCAAGTTTGCTTATGTTATTCATTGACAGCAAATTTTAATTATATATTTTTCTTGCTGTAACATCTAGAAATAAATGGGGGTGCCAAAGTAAATTAGCCAGGTGATTAGCTAAAAAGCGGAATAGTGGGAGAGTCACTGTATGAGGAAGGTCACAGGGTACCACTTTTATTGCCCATTGAGCTGTACTTGATTCTTTTTTTTACTGGCTGTTTGTAAATGAATTGGAGCAGAAAAGCAGCTAGGTGTAACCTGCTGTCTCTTACCACAGTGATTTTCTGTGTCCTAATAATGAAACATTCTGTTTTACTAATTGCTCACCATTTTTCTGTTAGTTTTTATGGGTTTTTCCCCTTCTTTTCCTTCTGGAAAGCATGATGTTAAAAAATCTCTCTCTCTCTAATACATTTGGGAATTAAAATACAAATTTTAGCTGTTCCTAATGAAATGAAGCAAAAATAGTAGTTGTTAAACTAAACTTCTCAATTTTCTTTTGTTCCTATTTTCCTTTTCTCCTTTCTTTTCCCTTTTTTTATTTCTTTCTAACCAAACTGAAAATTTTAAATTGCAGTAGAATTTTGTTACTTTTTAGTGTTTTTATGATACAATGTGCTGTTAGGTATTTAAATAACTTTATTATTGAGTATTATATGAAACTAAAGTCAAAATAATTTTTATATCCTTTCTAGAAGAAATGGCAACATACCTTCGTTATGTTAGAAGGCTAGATTTTTTTGAAAAGCCAGACTATGACTACCTAAGAAAGCTTTTTACTGACTTATTTGATCGAAAAGGATATATGTTTGACTATGAATATGATTGGATTGGTAAACAGTTGGTGAGTACTCTATGCTATATAATAAAAGATTATTTACAGTATTTATCTTTTGTGATAGTACAAATCATTCAATTGAAAAGAGTTCAGAACAAATAATTTTTTTAAAGGATTCATTTTATTTCCTTTTTTAGAACATATCTTCAGGTAGCACCATACTATTATTCTTTGAATTTTGTAACTGCTCTACATTTGAACTCCCTGCTTTTTAGAGTGATGAGTTATTTTGAACTTTTCATCCTGATTTAGTTCCTAATGTCAAATATCTTTTTGTGTAATATCCTTATGATTAATTTAATACTTTGATGAAAATTAAAAATTTTTACAAGTCTTCTGAGTCAAAATATTGATGATAAGCAACTTTATTAGTTTATTTTTGAAAACTATTTCTTTAATTTTGTTAAAGTATTTTATTCTATTTATACATTAGCTTTGGAAATGAGACATAAACAAATACATTTTCATCATTTTGATATGAAAAAGTAACCTAAAAGTAATGACAGCATTGGGAGGTCTTTTGTACATGTAAAAATAAATATAAAGTGTTTAAATATTTCAAAAACAGTTTAAAAAATTAGCTATGGTCTCTTTGCTTTACCTGGTTAGCTTTAACAGCATATTTTGAGAATATCTTAATTTATTTAACAGTATCTTTTAGTTTTTTTCCTTGATTCTTTTAAGTGGTTAAATAAATGATTTTAAATAAGGTTTCCAAAGTAGAATGTATAGATACTGATTGTTATTGTATTGTAGCCTACTCCAGTGGGTGCAGTTCAGCAAGATCCTGCTCTCTCATCAAGCAGAGAAGCACATCAACACAGAGATAAGATGCAACAATCCAAAAATCAGGTTTGCTGCCCTTTTAGATATGAAATATCTTACTTTGTCTCGGAGTTGAAATGCATACTTTTTTCTTCAATAGATAAAAGAGATTATACATACACACACTGAAGGATTGAAGATATATTTTCAACAAACTGTTTCTCTTAATTTTTACTATTTATTAGTTTAATGATAATTTTGAAATGTTTAATCATAGTGGTATAAGTAATTTAATGGTGTAATTGTATAAATTAGTGTAACCTTTGATCGATATTTGATATTCTATTAGAATGTATGTATACCCTATTGGAATGAATTTTAATAGCACTTGATCTTTCTAATTATAGTCTAGTTTAGTTCAATAAATTATTTACTGGGTTTCTGCTTTTTGAAAATTGCTATTATACATACTGTACAAATGCAGAAGTAAGGAAGATGGAATAACCTATAAGAAATGATTTTGTAATTAGTGGCTAAGAGCAGTGTTGTAGTTAAGAGCTCACTTAGTCTCTGGAATCAGACATACATGCATGTGGCTTGACCCTGGGCAATTTAATTAATCTTACAAAGCCTCAATTTCCTCATATATAAGATAGAAATAATGCACGTTAATACCTAGCATATAGTAGGCTTTCAGTAAAACTTAACCCTTGTGGCTGATGTTACTATTATCATGATTATTTCAATAAATGCACAAATAACTACATTTTAAAGCAGAATAAGCTATATCACATGAAACATGTTAATAAAGTGCCGTGGAGGATCATATGTAGGGGGATCTTTAAAGATTTTATGGAAAAAGTGACTTTAGAGATGAGCCTGAAGAATGAATGGAATTTTTAAAGGTAAATGAATGAGAACATTTTGGAGAGAGTGAGCAGTATAAAATATGAAGCAGAAGTTTAAAAGCGTAGAATTTGTTTGAGGAATAGCGAGCAGTCCAATTTGCTAGGAGCAGAGAGTAGGCAGAGTTGGAGTAGAGAGGGAGCAGAGAATAGGTTTGAGACAAGGCACAGGAGAGTGATTGAGAGTGAAGAGTTCATGTTTCTTCAGTAAGGGATTTGAGAGCTGTTGAAATTTTTAAGCAATGTTTTCATTATTCTTTTTTGTAAAAAGAAGCTTTCTTAAAGCCATCTTTGACTTAAAAATTTTGCCATCACTCTATGTTAAAGAGTGTCTAGAAAGTTTTTGTCATAACCATTTTGGGAGTAGGATAGGGTGTTGTCCTTTTTTACTTTTACATCTTTTATCCCATTGAAGTTCAAGTGAGGGTTAAGACTAGAGATGAAAATCAGAGGGAAAAATGCCACTTATTAAAAACGACAGCAAAATGAAAAGCTACACTTTAGGGAGTATTTAACAATATTATGTTATAAAGTACAGCCAATTTAAAAAGATTAGTTTTAAAATTTTGACTTAGGACAATTGGAACAATAAAGTGTCTCATATATAAATTACTTCATATATAAGTTACAATTAGTTGATAACTTGAGTACCCTGATAAGATGCTGTATATAGAAAGAAATGTCTCAGAAGTTGAGACTTACAGTTTATGTTTTATAAACCAGAGTTAAGTTTTCAAATGTACTTGGAAGAATATCAATAATTGGTATTCTGAGAAGGTCTGCATTAGAGCTGTTAAATATTATAATAAGTGATATTCTTTTATTATTGAATTAAATTATAGTTGAAATATTTTAGACTTTTAACTTTTTACATGTTTCAGACATGTCTTGCTAGACAGAATGTAAGCTCACTGAGGGTGAAAACCATATATTATTTGCAGTCCTTGTTTCACTAAATGTAGGGGGAATATATAATATTTTCCAGGAAATTCTTTAGAATAAACTTTTATATTGATTGAATTTGAGACTTGGATATACAGATTCTCATCAAGATAGAAAAGTTGGGGCCGGCCCGGTGGCGCACTGCTACAGTGCACCGCTTGGGAAGTGCGGCGGCGCTCCCGCCGAGGGTTTGGATCCCACATACAGACCGGTTCCCGCTCACTGGCTGAGCAAGGTGTGGGAGCAACACCAAGGGTTGCGATCCCGTAGCTGGTCCTGATCCGGTATGGGCGCGACACTGAGGGTTGCGATCCGTTGCCGGTCACGAAAAAAGACAAAAAGGAAAAAAAAAAAGATAGAAAAGTTATGCATCTAGAAAAAAATTTTCCTAAATACCTGTAAACCAGTAAATCCTTTAAGTTCTGTGAGAAGCCCATATTTCACAATCCCAAAGTAAAAAAATTTACTTCTTTCAAATTATGGGAACCTTTATAATGTCCCCAGATAAACGATTGATTGGTAAGCTACAGTCAGTGGTTGAAGTTCAGGGAATCCTGAAATTGTATATAAAATATTTGGTGGGTGTAATTGTTTACTCTGAGGAGAGGGTTCATAGCTCTTACTATATTCTTAAAATTCCATGACCCCAAATTATTGCCTATTTCCCTAGATATTTATCTCTATTTTAGCATTCTTTTCATTCTTTCATCTTGTCTGGATTTGATTTCATCTAATTTATTTCAATTTACGGTACAAATCTGAATTTTGGTTATGAATTTGGGCGGTTTAATGAAAAGACGTCATAGAACTATCAAAATTGTTTTAGTGGCATACTTCATGCTACAGAATATGTAATTTTGCATTGTACAGTTTAACTTAGGAAGCATAATGCCAGAACATTTATTCATATTTCTACATGAATTTAACATCTCTCCCCCCAGAGGGTTGCTCTGGACACCAGTGTGTTGGGCTCCTTATAGCACAGTGTGCTTGGCATTTTGTGGCAAGATTTTGTTGGCTTTGGTTGAAAAACAAAGAAAGAAAAGAGCACTGAAGGCTTTAGAATGTATGTAACTGTGGTAAGGAGCTAGGTAGTATTATAGAAAGTGCAGTAGGATCTGAGTTAGAATCCCTGCTGTACTCCTTGCTTGCTCTCTGTGACCTTAGGGAAGTGTTTAATGTCTCAATGTCTTCATCAGTAAAATGGGATGATACTATTCATCTCAAGATAGATAACACATATAAAGCAGTTAATGCACAGCCAAACTCATAATAAGAACTTAAATATTGCATTCTTCTTCTTTTTACCAGTTCTTTTCACATTTTTCTGAAATGTAGAAATCGACTTCTATTAAGAAACTATTCTTAATTCTACTAGAAGATAATTATTAGTTTAGTGTTTTTACCATTTAGATGTGTCAGAAGATCTAAAACATCAAGAATTTTTAGCTTATTTCATAGAAATGGGTTTCATAATTTGAACCAGTTGAAAAGAGATCAGGGAAGTAAAGGGATTCATATGTGTAGGATTTTCACTTTTAAAAAAATGTGTGTGTTTGTTTTGTCATATTCTCAGTATTCTATCTAGTGTTTCTCACTTTTCTGAGAACTTTTCTGTTTTCTCATATTATCCTCATAATCAGAAACAGGGTATTAAGCAAGAAACAAAATTTTTCTAGAATCATGAGGAAAGCTATTTAAGGACTTTTTTACCTTGCTAAAAGTAGCTCCTCATCTGAAAACCAGTGGGGACCTCTACTGTAAGAAAATACAATAGATGGCCTTTTAGGGTGCCCATGATTTATCTGAAGTACTTCCTTGGGCATATCATTTTTACCTTCCTGGTTCTTTTTTAACTTCATTTATAAAGTTAGAGGGTGGAGTCTATGATCTCTAAAGTCCTTTTGTCTCTAAAATTTTATGGTTCTATTTTATTTTTATTATTGATCATTACATAATTAAGCAATTTAACTAAAATCTCTCTGCATTCAGTATGCAAAGATAACTGTACCTATGGTTGAGAATAGTAAGGGTATTCTAAATTTTCTATTATACGTTTGTCTTATATATTATGAGGATGAGATGTTTAACATATTGGGTTTTTCTTCTTCCATGCATGCCATATGCATTAAATAAATGGCAGTCGGCAGACCACAGGGCAGCTTGGGACTCCCAGCAGGCAAATCCCCACCATTTGAGAGCTCACCTTGCAGCAGACAGACATGGTGGCTCGGTACAGGTATTTTCTGATTTTTGCATGAGTGATTATTTCCCAAATTTATACAACTAACCCTTTTTTGGAACTCATGGCATGATTTCATATCCTAATGGAAAGCTTGTTGCTGAATTCTGTCCATAATTCTACTCCTTTGTTATTTAATCAAAAAAACAAAATTAACATGGTCTACAAAGACCACCAGGGATATGTAGATTTTGCCTTTGTTAATTTTTGCAAGTACATGCAATATTTAAACAATATTTAAGTCATAGTCATAACAGATTAGAAGAACAGACTGTACTACTTGAAATATATGTTGAACTTGATTTTTCAGTAATAAGCTCAATATTTTTAATGCTTTAAGTAATAGAACATTTTTATATCTTTTCCCTTTCATTGATTTTGCCTCCTTCAAACTTAAATCATTTAAGTAGATATATAACTTTTTTCATCCTCAGTACTCAGAATGTACTTTCTTATTAATTGGTCAAAAAACATGACCATAATTTTAATAATGGTATATTTGGTTTATACTGATAGATAATATCAGATGAAGAAAATAACTTAAATGACAACTATTTATTAATTATTCCCCTCAATAAATTTTGTAGATATTTACACAAATTTAAAGCAGTCCTTTATTTGTGATTTGTTTCTTTTCTCCCTTTTTTTATACACTTAGAGACAGATACTTTATTCTAAATTTTAATCATTTATATGTATAATAGAAATAGGGAGAGATTACTGAGCCTCTTATGTCTTTTAGAATGTCGGTTTAAGGTAATCTAAATGCTGGCTTAAAATAATTGAGATAACAAATGTTATCTTAGAGATACCTTAAATTATGTAACCAAATATTTTTATAGAAGAGTGAAGGACCTCAGAGGCAAGGGTGCCTGAATTGTAAAACTTTTTATAACCTTAATTCGTATCACTGGAAAAGCTAATCGAGCAAATTATATTTAATTTGCATAACACAAACTGGATTGTGTATGTATCTGTATATGTTTACATGTTTCTAAGTTTGTGTGTATGTATTATAGCAAGTGTTTTGCTCAGTGCTCAGGGAAATCTGCAACAATTATGGCACTATTAGAAAACTTTCCTAGTACTTCTGTACTATTACCACAAATTTATTTTTCTTAGCCTCCTCTTACTTTTATGTGATTCCCAAATGTGGTTCATGAGATCTCTTTGGACTATGAAAGAGTGAATGAATTTGATTATTGGCTCATCATTGCAGTACTTCATGTACTATTGTTTCACATGTTTTCATAGAGGTATTTGAACTTTGCTCATTTCTCCTCATTTCTCTCTAAAAACTTTTCTGCCTGTAGAAACTATATCTGACTTCATTCTAATATTCAATAAGTGGTCAATTTTACTTACTAGGATCCTAGTGATACATAGAACAGGCAAAACAAAAAATTATATACTATTTTCATTGACTTCCTGAATGTATTTTACAACATTAACTGGCCTGATTTGATGGACATTAAAAAGTTTGACTTTCCTGAAAAATTCACAAACAGTGTAAGTAGGATCACTCCTGCATCTTGTCTCACTCCAAAATAAACAATGAATCCTTGTATAATTTATATCCTACACACTTTCCAAGTTATTTGAAAAGTTATAATGTGAAACTTGAATAATTGGACTAATGAGGCTGTAAATTAAAGTAATAATAAAAGGAAGGAAAAGTGCCTAAAATCTGAACTAATATGATTATTATAGTTGAGTAATATATTTGATTCTGAACAAAGACAGAAAGGGAGACAATGTATTCTATCATTCTCATTGTCCGATAAAGGGAAGAGATAAAGAGAAAAAATCTTTTACTAATACAAAAGTATGAGAGGAATTTGCCTTGAGATTCTTTGTGCAATGGTCATTAAACCATCTTTTGAACAAAGTTTCAAGCATTGGCTTTGCAGGAAATGTAAAGATTATATGGCAATTAAAATTATTCTCAACAAATACTAATAGCACATCATCAAATAGTTTCTCAGGAAAGATGTTTCCGTAATAAATAGAAGGCTATCTGGTAATAAAATGTGATACAGATTTGGGATATTCAGAAACATAATCTGCCTGCAGTTACTTAAAATGAGCCATTGTGGGCCTAGGCGTTCATCTCTCATCTATCACTGAACTCTTTTCTGTGGAACTGTTAATTGCTCTCAGTGCAGCACTGAAAAGCATTTAAACCATGCAAGATGAAACCTCTTGCCATTTTTTTTTTTTTTTTGGCTGCTGGACAACATGGGGATCCAAACTCTTGATCTTGGTGTTATCAACACCATGCTTTAACCAACTGATCTAACCAGCCAGTCCCCCTTGCCATTTTTGAACTACAGAAAGATCCTCAGATATTTATTTCAGATATGCTTTTAATAGAAACAGAGTAGCAGAGTCTAAATTTGAACTCCCTGCCTTTTTTTTTTTTTTTCCTTTTTTTGTCTTTTTTCGTGTCCGGCAACGGATCGCAACCCTCAGTGTCACGCCCGTACCGGAC